CCTCGGAAGCCCTCCTTGGCTCTACCGAGGACTTCAAAGCGATTCGTCTTTTCGATCTTGTTCATCTCGCCCTCGCCGTTGCCGTCGTCGTCGTCGGCGTCCATCTGGGCGCGCGGGCGGTAGATGCTGTTGATGGCGTCCTGCGCAGCAAACAGCGGCTTGTCGTAGGGGTTGTCCTCGTTGAAGCCGGCGTTAAGCCCGCTCGTCTGGTTGAACAGGCGAGAGTCCCACATTGCCTCTGAGCTCTGTGTGGGCTTCGCCATGCCCAGTGCCACCTTCTCCGAGATATCACGGTTCTGCTCACGCGCCATCATCTGGATCTTACGCTCCGTGCCCATCCGCGACTGCCGCAGCTGCCGCTCGGCCTCCTGGCGCCGCTCGCGCCGCTGTTCCTCGCGCTCCCGAACCGCCTCTTCCTCCTCGATCGGCGTACCAGACCGCGACGAGTACGCGGAGACAGGGGTACGGCTGCCACTGCGAGATCTAGAACGAGCACCATCACCATGCCGGCTAGTGCTGGGTCCACCGCGCTCCTCGCGGGCCTTCTGAGCCAGCATGCGTAGATGTTCCTCCTTGCGTGCCTTCTCCTTCTCCGCCAACTTCTGCTGCATCTGTGCTCGCAGCCGGACTTCCTCACGGGCATGACGGTCGGCAGTGAAGAGGGCTTCGGCGAATTGGGCAAACTTATCATTGATCGTCACGTCCTGCAGGCCACGGCCGTCGGCGGCCAATCGCTTATCTAATGGGACAGTGTAACCCTTGGGGTTCTTCCAGTTGGACACCGGTGGCGGGATCTTCCACGCCTCCTGGTCTTCGGCCGTAAGCTTTCGAGGCGGCGAGTGCATGACGGGCGGCGGGGGCGACGGCGGGCCCCGAGGGATCTTCTTGTGCTTGAATTTGGGCGGTTCCATCGGGTCCTGCTGACGCTCGACAATCTTCATAATCCGGTCGTTCTTGCGGCTGTTGTCGCCCATCTGGTTGGCAGGCGTGTACCGGACAAAGGTCGGCTCCGCCCGGCGGCCGCCCTTGACGTTCTTGGGCTTCTGCGCCGCGACAGCCCCCTCGACCAGGCTGGCGAGCGCGTTTTTCGTCTTCTCCATCTGCTCCGCCACCTCCTCCTCGGATGGCCGGTCGAGGGACACCTCTCCCATGTCAACCCGCTGGCGCAGCGGGATCAGGTCCTTGAACGAGGCGTGCACAATCCTGTTCTCGCTGTGGCCCCGACGCGCGATCGCATCGTACTGCACCTTCCCCTCTGCATCGACCTGCACCGCCAGCGCGTTCGACGTGCTAGAGGTTCCCTTCCGCCCCATGTCCAGCGGGTACTGCGCAACTAGGATCTCGGGGAAGGCTCCCCCGTCGCCAAAGTCTTCGGGGGCTCGCGGGCGCCATCCAGTGCGGTTTCCGTAGGGAGGAGGGCCAGTTCTCTGGGGGGGAAAAAAGCAACGTTAGATAAAATTATACAGGGGGAATAGTCAAGTACTAATGATATAATAATAAAAAAAAATAAGAAACCTACCCTCAAAACAATCTGCGTCTCATCAAGCTGGTCAGCGCCCAGAATCCGCGGTCCACGCGGCTGGGCATGTTGAGGCACCTCCTCATCTTCGCCCGTGTATTTGGGCTTGGGTAGAGATTTAAACAGTCCCGCTGCGATGGACGCCATGGCGAGACAGGGCTTCTGAATGGATGGTAGTTATTATGGTGAAGTTCGATGGGAGGAAATCATCTGGAGGTGGCCAACGTTTGGAGCTTTTCCGGGAATACGCGATTGGTCGTTGTAGGCTGCCGTAACAATTTACTCAGTACCTATGTAGTTGAAGGATGTACAGAGCCACGACATGTTTATTTATAATATTTTGTGATGATATGTTAAGTAATGATCTAAGATACTCTTTTAATATATTGAGTCTCCCCGAAGATGGGGTTGTCGTGGGATAGTAGTTCTATTCTTGTTAGTTATAGCGTACACAGTTACAACAAACAGTATATCCTTCGACTATAATCAGATAGAATATAGTAGGATGATCATGAAGGAATTTTCATATAATTTGTGATTTGCTGCTGTTAGTTGTACCTCTTTTAATTGTGTACCTAACTGTGTACTGTGTATCTATCTACCCGAACTACTTACATCAATGGCTTGTATCAGGCAGGTAGGTATAAATCAACTGGTATATATATAACTAGGTAGTATATACTGTATTGTAGTATATGATTTATGATAGTGGAGACTGTCATACAAGGATTAGATACCTTGAAGCTGGCTGACACTTCGTTCACGCTTGTGCCCTACTGCGGCAGATGTGAGCGCATCGGACAAGCGACGCCCTCTGCATCCGAGACCTCGACGTAGTGCTCTTTGCCACCGAAGAGGTACCAGATCTTGAGCGTCTTGGGAACGAGCGGGGCAGGATCGTAGAAGCCCAAGATCTTGAACTTGACCAGCTCGCGTGGGATCACGAGCTGGCTGTGGTCGACTAGGGCAGCGAGGGGGACGGTCACATCCACCACGCTGTCGTCGGGAATCTGCATGTTGACTTTTCTTGTTCTCTTCACCGTCGTCGTCGTCGGGAAAACGCCATACTCGGCCTTGGTGATGACCAATCCGCCGTCGTTCTCCTCCCGGAGCTGCCGCCGGGCGACCTGGTCGGCCATGAGCTCGACGGCCTGCGAGCTCTCTGCTTTCTTCTTGGGAACCGACCGTATCAACTCCCGCTGGCGTTTGGCGATGGCGAGACGGCGTTTCCGCCGTTCACGAGGCCGGATAATGCCGAATTCGACGGCACAGTATGTCAGCCAGGGCACGAGCACCGCCAGAGCTGCTATGTCCGCGTTGACTGTCTCCAATGGACATACGGCAACGGGCAGCTTGAGGCGCTGCCCGAGTCGACTCCATGAGACTGTCAGCACTAGGCCATTCGCTCCCTCAACTCCAATCCCTAGGCCCATGCGCGTGAAGTCGCTCACCTGGCGCGTCCCGGTGATGTGCCAGCTTGGTGTGAGGTCTAGGTTGACCGTGCTCTGGACTTCCAGTCGCACGGCCCGTGGCAAGCTCGCGGCGGGGAGAGGGTGGTATCCCTCAGAGCTCCATTCGGAGATTGCCGTATCTTGCACGGAGGTCCCGGTGAACAGATTGCGCGAGTAGCTGCAGGAGAGATCGCACCCTGCGGGAGAAGCCTCGATGGCAAATTGCCAGGATTCCGCAGCGCTGCTTTTCGGTTTGGGTCGCCTTGCCACATGCTTCTTCTCTTCGCCTTCCTCGCCTTCCTCGCCTTCCTCGCCTTCCTCGTCCTCCTCATCGTCAAGGCCGACGGCTCTCGATTTTTCGGGTAAAGAGAGGATGCCAATTTGTAGCTTGCTCGCTTGGTTTTCTATCGCCAGCGCGGTATCCAAGTCCATCCCTAGGTACAGGATCGGCTGGAACAGGGCCTGGATGAAATCCGGCCACGGCATCCCACCGCTCCCCCAAGAGCAATAGACATGCTTCCTCCGTCCAATTTCCCTGAACACCTCGAGGTTAAACTGGGGCGGTGTCTTGAAGATGGACCGGGCCAGCGTAGTTCGGAAGGTGACATTAAAGGGCTTCGTGCCGGGTATCGGGGTCAGCGCTTTGGCCAAAGTGGTTTCGATGGCTGGCGCAGGCAAGGCCAGGGCGTTCACCGTGACCATTGAATTCTTCAATAGGGAGAACGGACGGCGGTTCAGGATACCCTTGGTCCCTGCGACGTCGCTAATGACATGGGTGATCGTTGTGCCAACCGTGATACTTCTAGCGACTAGTAAGAGCGGGAGGGCAATCTAGGGCGAGAAGTTTAGTCGATCAATACTTTTTATCAGCGTGCGAACCTCGATTACCTGTTTGGTCTCCTCAGTGCCATCTTCGTAGCGAACCACGGCTTCTTGATAGGCTCGCTGGAGGTTTCCCGAGATACTCGCACTGATGACCATTTCCATATCGTCTTCCGCCTCTTCATCATTTTCCTTGGAGGGCGACTCTTCGGTTTCTTCCTCGCTTGTCACATCTCCGCCGAAGAGCCGCGGTATCGGTAGCGGGGTGCGAAAGCTATATCCGATAGTATATTTATCGAGTTTCGGGTCCGGAAGGTTAAGGTAGATATCGTCATCCTCGACGGAGATCAAAGAAGAAGCATCGATGCCGAGAGTAATGGAGCCCTTTGAGAGAGAGAGAAATCTTTCAGTACGTGTACGACAATCTTCGCGGGAAGCAAAGCCCCTCTTCATACCCTACTTTGTACCAAGCCGTCGATCGCCTTGCGCTCACGCAACTTCATCTTCTCGAGAAACCACCGCTTGAACTGTTGGGGATCCATGGCGCGCACGCCGAGCTGCTGGCGCTGGGACGCAGACGCCTTGCCCATGGCCCCGCCGGCGCTCCATTCTTGCTGTACGCCCTCTGCGCCGAGCAGATCATACACCGTGCGTTTCTGCGGGTCTATAAGAGTCTCGTAGGCCTCCCTGATGCGATCAAAGTGATGGGCGGCGGCCTCGTGCAGCGCTGCCGGCTGCTTGTCCGGGTGGAAGCTCAGCGTCAGGGTGCGGTATGCGGAGCGGATCTCGGCGTCTGTTGGAGGAGGGGTGCGCACCAGCCCCAGCAGGGCATAGTAGTCGGTCTCGTCGGGGTATTCCATCACCTCGCGATATTCGATCTCTTCGAATCCATCTGAAATCCTGCTTGTCGGTCCCTCTGGCAGCTCCTCCGCGTCGAGCGCGGAAGTCGGGCCAGGGAAGGGGGTCGGCATCTCCCCCTCTCTCTTTCTCTCTCCCTCTCCTGTCCCTGACAATCCTTCTGTGTCCCTCTAGTACTCAACAAGAAGAATAAATCAAGACCTTGGACAATCCATCAGGCGTCGATTTGATTCCGTAGCAGGTGATGACAGAAGGGAGACCGTGGTCAGGTTGTTTTGCAGAGTCTTTCCTCGGCAGATGACGTCGGAGTTAAGAAGGGAGTTTGGGGGTCAGCCATGGTTATAGAGGGAGTATTAGATCTACAAAGGGGTTTATAAGGAATATTCTATGGTTATATTTTTATTATTATACTCTAGCTTCTGCTGGTTAGTTTAGAACGCATTGGATTTTTTTTGTCTACTTTATGGCTAATTATATATAACGGGGGCTCATTCGGAGATAGTATAACTAGAGCTTATAACTAAGTCTTGAATTGCTGCAGCTTTTGACCACCTAGATCTATGATCTAGATCATATTTTGGGATTCAATATAAATAAATAATATTTATCTAATTACTTAAAGTGGCTGTTTATGTTATTGTGGTGTCGCATTTTATTCTTAAGTGCCTCAGGCCACTAAATCCCTAAGTCAATCAATTCACCCCTCAACATCCATCTTACAACACTCTGAGATGCTTTGATAAGGACCATGACCGAGCAGAACGATGAGCTCGCCGAAGAGATCGAGGCGATCAACGCCATATACGAGCCCGAAACGGTCTCTATAAGCACCAGCAGCCGCTCTGCCACGTCCTCGACGCTCGACCTGGCTGCTGCGAGCCCCGCGGCGCAACAGATAACGACTGTCACACTGCACATCCCCGAGCACCCCAACCTGTCGTTTTTGATCGGCTTCGACGCGAGGTACCCAGACACCCCGCCACGGGTTGTCGGAACCGCATCCACAGCTTCTCGCGGACAGGGCAAAATCGCCGTCGAGGCGCTGGAGGAGATTGTCGCCCGGGTTCATCAGCCTGGCGCCGTATGCTTGTTCGAGGTGATCAACGAAGCGGTCGAAGCGTTCCACCAGTTGGAGTTAGACAAGAGGGAAGAAAACCAGAATGACCATCATCATGGTGACTTCCCGGCTACATCAGATGAACCACTTACAGCAGATTTCGCCGCCTTGTCCCTCCGGGAGGCATTTGGCCTCGACCACCCCCCGGAATGGATCCTATCAGAGGTCGTGACGGAGAAGAAGTCGATCTTCGTCGGGCGCGCTGCACATGTAACCAGTGTTGAGCAGGCGCGCGGGTTCATCGACCACCTGCTTGCGACGGAGAAGAAGGTCGCCGCCGCGACGCACAACATCAGCGCATGGCGGATCCGCCAGCAATCGGCTACGAACGGGGAGAGAGTCTTTCAGGACTGCGACGACGATGGTGAGACAGCCGCTGGCGGTCGACTGTTGCATCTGATGCAGCTGATGGATGTCTGGGACGTGGTGGTTGTCGTGACGCGCTGGTACGGCGGCGTCCTACTGGGACCAGATCGGTTCCGCATCATCAACGCGGTCGGGCGTGACGCCTTGGCTAGAGGAGGATTTGCGAGAGAGGAGGCCACTTCAACCGAGAAGGGGAAGAAGAAAGGCAAGAAATGACCAGTGATCCCTGAATCAAGGACCCGATCCTTTTGTGGTTTCAGAGCCATCGCCAATGACTACGCTTTGACAGGAAGAACCTCATATTGGGAATCTATCCAGGTAGATATGATCCATCTGTCTATACATACAACTCATAAAAAATAGAAATTTATCTCCAGTAAAGACAATCCTTAAACCTATGTAGACCTCGGACCTCCTATGAGAAACGATGTCTTGTTCTCTGTTGTAATACGCAAGTCCAATATAGGAATAGCTATGGGAAAGGCCCAGGTGACTGACTTGTGACCTCTTATTACTTGCCAGGAAAAAAACTCTCACTCTCGATACCCACAAACGAAGGGACCCCAAATCCTCATTTTGATCCTGTTCAGTTTATAATATCGGCTATACCCACTGCAGACGCTGACTTCTGATAGGTAACTCGATCAAGTGATGCTACACCACCTCATCAAGGTGGCTGGAGAGGCTAAAGATGGTGAGGGCGATTCACTGGTATTCAGGCTTCAAGTCATTATTATTATTGACTGAATCCACAATGAGAATACTCCATGAGGTGCTAATTCTATTCTCTTAGAGTTACACTAGCACAGTTGAATTGTTCCTTTCCAGCCTCGCCGCTCACAATCCCCCCCCGCCCCCCGGACCCTCAGACCTGCAACATGACACAATCAACTGTTTCAGGCAATAAAAAACCACCCAATCCACTTGACTAATCCTTGCCAAGTCCCTGAAGATCGAAAGGCTAGGATAAAAAAGCGAGGACTTGGATCGAGAGGGTCTCAGGCTACGTGCAAGCGCCAAGGGAGGCCCCTCGCCAGCCAGTCGCGGGCCAGTCTCACCCTGTGCCTTGCAGATTTCTGACAATGAGCTGTCTAAATGAGCCTTTCAAATATCGGATGGAAGTTCAGTGGCAGATCTCAGTGGCAGACCCTGTCGCTTGGAGGGTTCTCTGCAGATGAAACAGAGCTGGGTCGCTCTCTTAGAGTCTCCACAGATCAGTTCACCTCTATTATATATACTGATGATGAGATAGAGGCTGGCCATCCTCCAATTCTCCTGCAGCGCTGGAACGTGGAGAAAATTTCCTTCTATTATTATCTGTTCTTACTGTTCTATTCATTGTCATCTATTGTCCCTCTGGGTTGCCTGTGGCAGACAGTCTTTCCTTCTATTGACGCGGAACTTGTCTCAGATAGCTATTCAGTATCTTTTTGATCTATAGATCTTGCCATTCAATACAAAGGTATTGTACCCAGCCACATTGGGACTGCCAACTTTTTATATTTCCCATTCGCACCCTTTTCTCCTTTACTCTCCTTCCTGTTTTCTGCTCTCTTCGCTAATCCCCAGTTTAGAACCTCTTGTTCCTCTGCAGTCTGTCGTCTGGCACGATTAGATTGCAAGCTCCTCAGTTGATATCTCTTGACCAAGTTGAATTCAAAGGAAACCAAAATGATCACTCCTCTCGCGGCAGTTGCTGCCATGCTCGCGATTTCGGCTGTCGACGCCCATATGATCATGAGCCGGCCTTATCCGTATGGTCAGTCGACGCTTAACAATTCGCCTCTCGATGCCGATGGCAGCGATTTCCCATGCAAGCTGCGTGGCTCCACCACGTATGAGGCGCCTTCCGAGTCTAATGACTTCGAGATTGGCGTTTCCCAGCTGCTGTCCTTCATTGGCTCTGCCACTCATGGCGGCGGCTCTTGCCAGATCAGTCTAACTACGGATATGGAGCCCAGCAAGAGTTCCTCCTGGTCCGTCATCAAGTCTTTCGAGGGTGGCTGCCCGGCAAATGTCGACGGAAACCTCTCCGGCGGCGCTGAAACCCCAGATCCTTACACTTTTAACTTCACCATCCCGGCCGGCATCTCTCCGGGCAATTACACTCTCGCCTGGACTTGGTTCAACCGCATCGGGAACCGCGAAATGTATATGAACTGCGCCCCCATCACCGTCTACTCGGGCTCTTCTTCCTCTGCATCGCCCTCCAAGCGCGCCGTGTCGAACACAGCCAAGAAAGCCGACACGGTCGAGAAACGAACCACCTACCCCACCATGTTTGTGGCCAACATCAACGGCTGTACCACAACGGAGGGCTACGACATCCGTTTCCCAGACCCTGGCGATGTGGTCGAGTTCGACGGCGAGCCTTCTAACTTGCAGGCCTCGGGTGCCGCAGCTTGCACCGGCGTGTCTACTCCCTGGGGTGGATCCTCTGCCACTGCCGCGAGCGGCGCCTCGTCGTCCACTGCCGCCGCCGTCGCGCCTGCAGCAGTCACCAGCGCCGTTGGTGGCGGAGGTACTGAAATCGCAGTGACCTCTTCTGTGGCTACTGCTGCTTCAGAGCCGACCTCTACCTCGGCAGCCTGGGAGGAACCTTCTTCTGTTCCCTCGCAGACTGCTGCCGTCATAACCTCGGCATCAACCCCAACCAGCTCTTCATCCGCCAGCTCCAGCTCCAGCTCCAGTACTTCCTCCGGTGTTCTGACGGGATCGTGCAGTACCGAAGGCGAATGGAACTGCATCGAGGGGACTTCGTTCCAGCGCTGTGCTTCTGGCGAGTGGTCTGCAGTTGAGGAGATGGCGGCCGGAACAGAATGCACCACCGGCCAGTCTGATGAGCTGAGCGTCTCAGCCGTCGCTGTCGCATCGGCAGCGGTGAAGGCGCGCTCAACTCCTCGGTTCTTGCACCGCCGACGCGAGTCTCACGGCCACCGAAGTTAGATCCTCCTTTGCTTGAGTCATGGCGTAGATCGCTGGTTGGGTATCTGCATCATTGTTTTTACTCCTTCAACTGTTTTTTTGTCTTCTTGCAAATGATTCATGATCCATGTATATCCGAATTGACTCCTTGATCAATGCCATATGTTATTTAGAAACCATGGATAAGACCGTTAGTAGGCATTAGTGAAATAACCATATTATTTAAATTCTCTTGCCAATATTATTCTTGTTTCTTGAAAGCGTAGGAATGTAAAGAACTGAGGAGGACAATCTACTAGGTAGGTATGTAGTACTCCGCAAAGATGCCAACCCAAAGCGGAAAATAGGGCATAGGGCTTTCCCGCACCCACCAACAAGCGAAAAAATCCACTTTTGACGCCCTTTACGATCTCGAATCTCCAACTCGACACGACCAACGAAAAAACCTCATCGTCGACAACAATGGCCTCTCGCCCTACCGTCTCCGTGGCCACGGCCGAGGGCAAGCCCTCCGGTGCGACCCTCACCCTCCCTGCCGTCTTCTTGTCGCCCATCCGTCCCGATATCGTGCAGTACGTGAAGCCAAAAAAAAAAAAAAAACGAAAAAAATGAAGAGGGAAGAAGAGTTGATTACTGTGGGCGTCAGGCTAACGACGCAGGCATGTGCACACTGGTATCGCCAAGAACAAGAGACAGCCCTATGCCGTGAGCGAGAAGGCTGGTGAGCAGACTTCTGCTGAGTCCTGGGGTACCGGTATGTTTTCGAACCAAAAAAGAAAAAAAAACCAATTAAGAGTGTGGTGGATGCTCATATTTGCCAGGCCGTGCTGTCGCTCGTATCCCCCGTGTCTCTGGTGGCGGTACTCACCGTGCTGGTCAGGCTGCTTTCGGTAACCAGTGCCGTTCCGGTCGTATGTTCGCTCCTACCAAGGTCTGGCGCAAGTGGCACCAGAAGGTCAACCAGGGCCAGAGGTATGATAATTTTGTTTTGAGGAAATGATTTGGATTTGGGCTGACCTGTGGTGATAGACGTTTCGCTACTGCCTCTGCTCTGGCTGCTTCTTCGGTCCCCTCCCTGCTGTTCGCCCGTGGCCACCGTGTCGCCAACGTGCCCGAGGTTCCCCTCGTTGTTGAGAGCAAGACCTTTGAGAACGCTGCTCTGACCAAGACCAAGGCGGCCATTGCCCTGCTTAAGGCTGTCGGAGCCGGTGCCGACCTGGTCAAGGTGCAGAAGTCGCGCAAGATGCGTGCCGGTAAGGGTAAGCTCCGTAACCGCCGCTTCCGCCAGCGCCGCGGCCCTCTCGTCATCTACAACCCGGAGACGGACGGCAAGGAGCTTGTGCGTGCCTTCCGCAACATCCCCGGCGTGGAGACCTCGTCCGTCTTCTCGATGAACCTGCTGCAGCTGGCTCCTGGTGGCCACCTGGGCCGTTTCATCGTGTGGACCTCGTCTGCTTTCTCGGCGCTCGACCAGGTGTACGGCACCACCACCACCGCGTCTGCGCTCAAGAAGGACTTCCTCCTGCCGTCGAACATGGTTGCCAACGCCGACATTGCCCGCCTGATCAACTCCTCGGAGATCCAGTCGGTTCTGCGTGAGCCCAAGGGCGAGGCCCGCACCAAGCGCGCCCAGGTGCAGAAGAAGAACCCTCTGCGCAACAAGCAGGTCATGCTCCGCCTCAACCCCTACGCCGCCGTCTACTCCAAGGAGAAGCTCGGCCAGAAGGCCGCCGAGCACTCCAAGCCTGTCCGCCCCTCGGAGATCTTCCGCCAGACCCTGGCTGAGGAGTAAACGTGTCGGTCGAGATTTTCTAAATGTCTTTTTTCTCGTTTCAATTCATTGATGGATCTAAAAGTAGTCAATGAACTGCAACTGCCAATATACCCATTTCGTAGTTATTTGTTGTCTCCAATACGTAGTAGTTACTTCGTACTCTACCAGTACTCCGTACTCCGTACTCTACCTACTACCCTTAGTACTGGAGTCCTAGTGTACGTCGGATGATTTCAACCAATTAATTTAAACAAATTTTGTTGAGTAAATTAACTTGCTGATCTTTACGGGGGACTAAAATAGTCAATATGTAGACTCTGTACTGCACTACGTACTAACTAGTTACGTAGTTCCTACATACCTAAGTTAACTACTCCATAACTACGGAGTACCTACTCCGTAGGTAGTCGGAGTACTCCGTACTACATAGTACTAACTATGGAGTACTCCGTACAGACTACCAGGTCTGTAGTCCACGCTAAGCACCAGGTTCGCATGGCGTTGCGTGTGTGTGTGTGTGCGCCAAGAACAAGTGAGTGCATTAATAACCGCATTTCAACAATTTTCCTTCGGATTCTCCACGAGTCGTGGATACGAACCCGCCCCGCCCTTGCTCGAATCGAGTTAGTCATGCTCGGCACTATTGTCTCACCTTATCTGTAGGGCAGACAGACATTCTAGTAGGTATGTACTAGTTAGTTAACTAGTTAGTTATGTAGTTAGTTATGTAGGTACCTAGGTAGTATGTGTAGACTCCCCTAGGTAGATTATTGCTTATTGCTTTTGTTAGTTCTAGTTCTAGGTATCAGTTAGAGTGACCATGGTCTACAGACAAGGCTTATTTACTAAGGGTCTATTAATTAGGTCTAGGTACCTCCTCTCATCATTTGAGCTCCGAAACTCTTGTGGGGAACACGGTCTGATTCCGCTGAAGGATTTTCATCCTGGTGGGGCGACTTAATCGTCGTATCTACGGAGTACAGAGTACGGAGTGCTACATAGTACAGAGTATGTATTCACTGTGTAGTTACTACAATATAGTAGGGTAGTGGAGGTATATTAATAATATCTAGAAAAGTAAGGTACCTCGGTGTCAAATAATGTTTCTGGTATTATATGAAGAGAATACTCAATACTAATACTAGGAGAGAAATGCCAATAAGAATACGAAACCAGTTTCCTAAAGTGACTAGTTTCGGCCGGCAGTTCCAGGTAGATAAAGCCTGCAGGTAGTGATTAAATAACTAGGGACGAAGTAATAGCATGCAGTGTGATAGGATCACGGAGTATAGATGGAGTCTCTGGTGGTATGGACGGAAAACTCATCCGCGAGACCTGCCTGGAGAACTAGTTAATTCGTAGTTAGTTACTACCTAGGTACACTACATAGTTAGTCCATACTAATTACCTGGTTATATAGTAGACTCAATATTCAGTTGCCGCTGAAACTCGGCAATTCAGTATATCATATCCCGACCATGTTTTACTACTTACATACTTTAATATTTTACAAATAATACAGTATGTAAGTATTAGTACCTACTGTACCTACTACAGGTACTACTAGGTACCAGGTAACTAGTTACTACTAGAAAATTATCTATTAGACTGCTCTAGGTACGGAGTATATTCTACCTGTACCTATGACGACAACAGTTGAACTTCACGCATTTGGATTAGCTCTGTACCTTAGGCAATAATTACCAAGTCTGGTTAGTCCAGATACGTAGTTATCAGGTACCTTAGTACCTAGTTACTACCTAGTAAGTTACCTACCTAACCTACCTGGGTACACTCATACCAGTACAGACTCTAGTAGTTCTAAACTACCTTTTAGTACTGAGCATAGTTATTGTGTATGTAGTATCATGTATGAGGTACCTGTAGTGTGTATTGTATTACAGCTTACCGGCAACGCTACCCTGTCCTATCCTTAACGGCCTTCCTACTCCGTAAAGTCTGCCCCTCCTCCCCGAGTCCCTGTCCAGTGTCCAGTTCTCTCTAACAGGATCCAACTACAGAAGAACTCCCCACGAACCATTCCTGGGCCCTGGTTAACTTTTCCGTCATTTACTCGCCAATGGTCTTGCTCCCTCGAGAATGGAGGATCCCTAACACTATCGCTCGACTCTCGAATCCTGTTGCTCGAGAACCAGTGAGATCGTGATCTCGGTTGAATCGATCTTCAAATCCCGAGTGTCGCCCGGAAAGGACCCTCCCTCGTACCATTGCACTGCCTCTTGTTATTATTACTATTATTATTGTTCTTGTTATTGACCTCCATGCCGACGCACAGATCAGCATCTGCACTGGGCCGTCTTCAGATCACGTCTCAGATCCGATCGTGTGCTGTGAGGCGTTGCGAAGTTGGGGCCGTTTGACTTGGAATAATTATTATTATAATAATTATTATAATGATAATATAATTATAATAGTAATAATAATAATATAATAATAATTATTGTCCACTGTCCCCCTCCATCAACGTCAGGGAAAATCGAAAGGTTTCCTCCCTCTCTCTCTCCCTTCTTCTCTCTCTCCCTCCCTCCCTCCCTCCTCTCTCTGTCTTTCTCCCCCCTCTTTCTCTCTCTCATGATATGGAGGCCACCATTCGCATCGGGAACCCGTTGGACCGTGTGCAGAATGCCCTCTGGCCATCCGTGACGGCTGTTCTCGAATCCCTTCTTGAACCCTGGTGATTGGAGCGGGAAATATTCTCACGGGATTAAGTTATCTACCTAATACTACTACCTAATCTACTGGAATCCCCCCCCCCCTGAAGAAGAATAATTATATATACAAAGAAAGAAAAGGACAAGGGAAAAACCGACCATTTTTCAGCTATGGCCTACTATGTCGGTCCCTTTGGTCGTATGTTACCCGTCCTCGATCCCGCTACCGGTCAACAGGCCTCATCACAATCTCCCAAACCAGCTTCAACAACACCAGATTCAGACCCTCCACGAAACCGTCCACCATATCAGCTTCCACTGCCTCATTCCTCTACTCCGTTGCAATTTGGTTCCGACCCATTTCTACCCCCGCGACCCCCGGGGGAACTTGCCAGGGCAGAGAGGCAACCACCACCACCACCACCACCACAAGAGCAGCAGCAGCAGCAGCAGCAGCAGCAACAGCAACAGCAGCAACAACTGCCTTCTGTTAGCCAACTGCTGTCACCACCATCATATCCTTATCGACCGCTCTCTACCACCTTTCAGGCACTACCTTCCTATGTCTCTCCGCCCGAGAATCTGCCCATTGCCGCCTCCTCCCAGGAGGCTCGGCCGACCTCCGGGTCGTCGGCGAGTAGCTCGAAGCCCTCTGTCCACCCACCTGTGGTGGATGAGCGCTACATAGACGGCGAAGGTCTGTGCTACATCTACGCCGATGGCTCACACTGCCCCAAGATCATCGACGGTGTCCCCGTCAACGCCAACTGGGGGGTCACCAAGGCGGGAAAGCCTCGCAAACGTCTCGCCCAGGCCTGTCTAACCTGTCGCGAAAAGAAGATCAAATGCCAGCCTAACCTGCCCAAGTGTGATCAGTGTCAGAAGTCCGGTCGTGTCTGCCGCTTTGAGAGTGCGTAAGTATCCACCGGTGGATGTTTCTTTCTCTCTTTCTCCCCTTTTGCAAAGGAAAAGAGGAGGGGGGGGGGGGGGGGGGGGGGGGGGTAAGGGGGTAGATTATACTGACTATCAGACCCCGCGGACATCGGGCGCAGAAACCGTTGCATTACGCCAGCCAGACGAACATCCCGCCGCCTCCCGCGGGTTTTTACTCTCTCGCTAGAGCCTCCAACAGTTCGACCTCACTCCCCGACACCAACCAGTCGCCCAACTCCGAACGAAGCCCTCGGCAGCTGACCCCTTCTTTGGCCGACAGTAGCTACGATGAGCCGAGCCACGCACGCAAGACATCCATGGGACTCGATGACCCGTATGTTGACCTTGTGGCCGAGCTCGAGGTGTGTGACCCAGACGATCCGCTGGCGGGGGACTGGCATCTGGATCCCTATGAGATGGACCCGGAGCTCACGACGCACTACGTTGAGAGCTACCTGACCACAATCAACGACTGCCTATACTACATATTCCCACGGCGCCGCTTCCTGCTGTGGCTCAAGTCGTGCCGCACCAAATCGCTCGACGATAAGATGCTGCTGTACGCGATGATGGCCATGGGCGCCGTCTTTTCGGATCGGACCGACCGCCAGGATGCCCTGCGCCGCTACTCCCGCACGGCGCGGTACGCGGTCGAGCGCCGCCAGCACCGCCTCTCGCTGCAGCTGGCGCAGAGTCGCCTCATCTTGAGTTTCTGGTATTACGCCATGGGGGGTCCGTTGGCCCACGTGTGGGACTCGGTCGGGGCTGCCATGCGCACCGTGGCCGCCCTGCGGTATAACTTTGAATCCGGGGCAGTCGACTCAAGCGGCGGCGGCGGCAGCAGCAGCAGCAGCAGCAACAGTAACGCCATGGTCCTATCGACGTGCGAGTACGGACTACATCCGCAGGCACTAATCGAATGTCGTCGACGAACCTTTTGGGTGGCTTACATGCTGGACCGGCTGTCGAGCAGCTACGCGCCCTCGGCATCGCTATTCTTCCCATCCCAGTCAGCCTTTCTGAAGTTGCCGTGTCGCGACGACATCTACGAGGCCCAACAGTACGCCACCGTGCCCTATTTCATGAGTGACCTGTCACCCGAAGAGGACATGTCTTCGCTGAGCGCAATGGCGTTTTTGATCGAAATCATCGCGCTCTGGGGGGACGTGTCGCACCACGCCCTCCAGTCACCGCACCTGTCTGCCGAGGCCCATGCCCGTCGCATCGACGGCTGGTTGCCGGGGATCCTGCAGCAGGCTGAGACCTGGCGCAACAAGCTGCCCGCCCATCTGCTCCTCACGGCCGAGAACATGGAGCGCAGCATCAGCGCAGGCAAGGCGGACGATATCCTTCTCCTTCACATTGTGTACCATGTCACTCTGATCCGACTGCATCGGTACCAACGGGCCTCGCCCGACTGCCCCTCGGCAACGATCGCCGAGCATGTGCGGCGGGCGCGGCACCACGCCGTCGAGATCCTGCAGATCACCGTCGTGGTCAACCAGATGACGGCTTCGATGGTGACGAGGACCCTGAACCCGTTCCTGTGCTTCGCCGTGCTGTCGGCCGTCGACGTGTTAAGCGCGGCGGGTCTGGCGGGCGATCTGGCCGACTGCCTGCGACTCATCGAGAGCGGGCTGGAGAGCGTGGCCCGGCTGGCGCGACCATGGCACGGCTGTCTTGCGCTGGCCACGCTCATCGAGGGCCGGCGTGATCTCCTGCGCGAGGCTCTGCTCGACCCCTCCTTTTCCTTTTCCTCCCCCTCCCCCCCCTCCTCCTCCTCCTCGTCGTCGGAGGGCAAGCTGGGCTTCGCCCTCGTGTGCGACGCGTGTCCCCCGCTGGAAACACAGATCCGGCTCAGCAAGACGCTGGTGTACACGCCTGGGCCCGTCGAGGAGGATCTCTTCTACGGCGGCTTATCGCGGCGGGCGCTTTTGGAGGTGTTGGCGGGCGAGGCACTGCCAGAAGACCGGATCTGTTGGATACACGTTACTAATGATCTAAACCAAAATTAAATTCTTATTAATCTGAGAAATTACTGGCTAGCCACAGCTACCTAGCCTAGTCGTTAGTATTTAGTTAGTAGTTAGTTAACTAGTAGTTATTAGTTGACTAAGGCAACTAACAAAGCTTGCCACTGTGGGACAATGATGAAATACCTCTACACTATCTTCTGTCTTCTCTTCTCTTCTTCTCTTCTGCTCTTCTTCTCTTCTTCTCTTCTTCTCTTCTTCTCTTCTTCTATTCTTCTATTCTTCTGCCTAGTTTTCTTCTAGATGCCTCGAAACTTCCTCCCCCCCATGGGCCACGGCCCCGGCCCCGGCCCCAGTAACCATGGGATGGGCGCCAACAGCACGGTCGAGCTGATGAACCTGCCCGCGACACTCCTGGAAGCCTTCATACCAGGCTACTCGCTCATCTCACGCTTTGCGCTGGACATGTTCGGGTTCGACGCCTCGCTGCTGGTGTCGAGCGTGCTCGCGCTGCTGGGGCTCGCCACGACGCTGAATTACGCGTACCGGTTCTTCTGGACGCAGATCAACGCCCACTTCACGGCGTCGATCGCCATCGAGCCGGGCGAGGATATCTACGACCACGTCTTATCCTTTATCTCGAACCATCCTGTCTCAAACGTGACGAGGCATTTACGTGCGCGAGATGGGCGCGGTTCCCTTTCTGAAGACGAATATGAGGAGCAGATCACTACCAACACTACTAACACGAAGACTAACACGAAGACTACAAACGATAGTACTTGTGATTTTATTAATCTTGCTCACTGGGATGCTCAGATCCCCCCCAAATTCGACCCCTACGCTACTAGTCGATGGTTCTGGCATCGGGGCCATATCTTTCGTTTCCAACGGGATCGGTTCGCTGTGCTGAGCGCCGGAGGGTCCGGCGGAGGACCCGGCGGAGGGCCCGGTGGTGGCGGCGGTAAACAAGGCGGAGGAAACGCAAGCAGTGGTGGCGGCGGTGGGAGCAGTGGAGGAACATCCACGACGCTGGACGAGCAGATTGCCATCACGGTGCTGGGCCGGTCTGCGGCGCCGATCAAGAGCCTCATCGCCGAAGCGAGCAGGGAGTACTTTGCCCGCCAGGCACGGAGCACGACCGTGCGCCGCCCGACGCCCAAGATGGTGCGAGGCGGCGGGCGGTTCGCGCAGTGGACCAAGGTCGCGGTGCGGCCGTCTCGCCCCATTGAAACCGTTGTGCTTGATGAGGGCGAGAAGAGGCGGCTGCTTTCCGATATCAACGAGTATCTCCATCCCGCTACGCGGAAGTGGTATGCTAATCGCGGTATTCCTTATCGGCGCGGGTACCTGTTTTACGGGCCGCCGGGGACGGGCAAGACGTCGCTTAGTTTCGCCATCGCGGGCATCTTCGGCGTGGATATCTTTTCCCTGTCCTTGCTTGATCCCAGTCTCACGGAGGAGGATCTGGGGTTTTTGTTCAGCATGTTGCCTAGACATTGTGTCGTGCTTCTTGAGGATATCGATAGTGCGGGCTTGACGCGTACTGGTCCGGGGGGTTCTTCTGGTTCTGGTTCTGGTAGGCCAATGAGGGGGGGAGGAGCAGATGAAGGATATGGAGGAGGAGGAGGAGGAGGAGGATATGGAGGAGGCGGACCAGGAGGACCAGGAGGACCAGGAGGTGGATATGGAGGACCAGGAGGACCAGGAGGGTACGGAGGACCAGGAAGAAGACGCTTCATGGACGAAGAACAACCCCGTGGGATCTCGCTTGCCGGCCTCCTCAACGCCATCGACGGGGTGGCTTCGCACGAGGGCCGCGTACTCGTCATGACGACCAACCATCCAGACACCCTGGACGCAGCACTCATCCGGCCCGGCCGCGTCGACATGATGATCGGGTTCACGCTCGCGACACGCAGCCAGATCGCCGAGCTGTTCAAACGCATGTACGCCGATCATCCAGACGGGGAAAAGGGAAGCTCCCTCGAGGCCCTGGCGGACCAGTTTGCTTCCTCCTTGCCGGATTCCACTCTCTCCCCGGCCGAGGTCCAGGGATACCTGCTCATGCGCAAAAAGGAGCCGCGCCGCGCAGTCGACGAAGTGGATGAATGGCGGGAGGAGATTCTCGAGGCTAAACGCGCCCAGGAACGGGGGGATAATATCTTTGACAAGAAACCTCGTAAGGATCATAGAGAGGACTAGACTTGGACATAGGATAGCTACAAAGGATGACAGGAGACTAGACAGGAAACTAGACAGGATAACTAAACAGAAGAACTAGATAGGATAACTAGACAATGAAGCACAACTATAGACAAAGCTAAAATATAGACAGGCAAGTGGCTAAGCCAACTTGATGTCGTCCTCCACCTCCGAAGGATCCTTCTTCTGCCAAAAAGCAGCACACCCATCGACGAATCGGCGTGTAAGCGCCTCCACATCCTCAAATGCCATCGGCGCAAAACACAGCCGGACGAACCGCCACGAATCTGCTTGCGCCCAAGCCGAGGGAGCGAACAGCTCGCCTGGCGCGACGAGACATGCAAAAGGCGCACGGGTGAGGTGGAACCAGAGCGCGCGCGAGAGCTTCGGCAGCTCGACTTGACCGGCGAGCGGATGCGTAGATAGACACAGCTCGACCCAGACGAACATCCCGGCTGTGGGGGCGTGGAAATCATACATCTGCGTTTTGGTGACGAGGTTCCATGCAACATCTTCATCATCAGCAGCAGTAGTAGTACTTTCATGTCCACTACTCTCATGGTTTTCACTAATCAAGTACTTCCCCTTCTCGAGAGCTCCACACATGGCCTGCATGCGCTGGTGGTACCCATCCCGTAATCCCTCCAGCCAGCGCACCCAGCCGTCGACATGCCAGGCTTGTTCTACTGCTGTTTTGCTGGCACGAGCACTTGTAGAATGAGACTGAGACCGGGACTGTCCTATGAGCAACTCTGCGACAAGCGACTGCACAAACCCGGAGGGCTGCTGCGTCGAGACCTCCGTGATGCGGACAAGCCGCTCGATCACCGCCGGCTGGGCCGTGATCCAACCCAGCCGACAGCCCGGAGCGATGGTCTTGCTGAAGGTATCGAGGCGGATCACGCGGCCCTCGGTGTCGACCGCCAGGTACGACGGGACGAGAGAGTCGAGGAATGCATACCCGGATGAGACACCCTCCGCGTTGTAGTTGACATTACTCGGCCCGTACTGCAGGTTCCAGTACGGGTCGTCTTCAATGATCAACACGTCGTACTTTTGGCACAAGGCGTAGATCGCTCGGCGGCGTTCAAGGGAAAGCGTGCCCCCGGTAGGATTCTGGCCCATTCTGTTTTCTGTCAACTGCTTTTCCCTTTCTTTCTCTCCATAATCACGAGAAGGAGCACATACGTCACAGTGTACATCAGGTGAGGGCGCCGTCCCTGGCGAAAATCCCAGTTCTCCAGCACATCCTCTAGTCCCGACGGGAGCATGCCCTCGTGATCCATGGGCACGCCGACGATGTTCAGTCCCTTGGGCTTTGCCAACTGAAACGGGCTCATGTACGTGAATTTCTCGCACAGGATCCCTTCGCGGTCCCGGATCCAGTCCCGATTCGGGTTCCAGGGATTGACGAACGCCTCGATCACCTTGGAGAACCCATCGGTCGATCCGCAGGATAGCGTGATCTCGGGTCCATCTGCATACGGCACGTTGGGGTGCAGGTGCTCCCGCACGAACCGGCGCAGAAACGTATACAGGGGAGGGTACCCTTCGGCAGTGCCGTACTGCAGCGCCGTAGACAGGTCAATCTTCTCCTTAACGTTGACAGTGTCGCTTTCCTTGGGGACAGTGACCCGGGTCGAAGTCTGTTCCTGGTGGCTGGCCAGACGCTGTGGGAGCGCAACCCCGGCTTCAAGCGTATCGAAGGGAAAATACGAGACATGAGGCAAGCCTGGAGGTTTCACCTGATTATTACTATTCTTACAAGTAAATCCAACACTTGGTTATAACTCACCCCCAGCCAAATTTGCGGTGTTTGCCTTGAAGTATTTGTAAAGGTCCTTGACTTCGCTGGCCTGACGAAGCTTAGTCACATAGCTGAAATGATGCGATAAATCGAGCGGCTGAGGCAATGGTGCGGAGTTTTCCATCCTGTCGTGTAATGACCAACAGCCTAATAGTAATAGCAACGTCCAGTTCACAAAAGAACAGAAGATTGAGAGAGATATCTCCTAGGAGGGCGAGCAACCCCAGAATCCTATTCCCTATCTGACAGGCTTGATAAGCATTGACGCTTATCTCCGCCTTTTCATCCTCTTGATTGTTGGATCCGACCCCCGATCAGGTAATCATGTCGTTCTGTGGCACGCCCAGGTCGACCGGCTGGATGGCCATTGCCTTGGTCTGCCAATGGGCCATGGTCTCTGCTCCACCGTCGAGACTCTGACAGTGCGACCCCTCCAAGAGGATATTATTAGATCGATAAGACGATGACGACCCAATAATGCTTTCATTTCGTAGGTTTAAAAGGATTCATGATCCCGCTCCTCGGCAGGTGTTAGCTGAGAGAACACAGCCTGGTACACCGACAACGATGAGAATGACACAGACCTGATTCCATCCGATATATGACCTGTAGTCTTCTCCTGCTTCTCATCGATCTGTCATGCCACCAAGTCCTGGCTGTGTCTGTGTAGATGGAGGGACTTCGCTTGGTGTCTGACGTATCGGAACCGCCTTGGTAGTAACTAGTTGACCATGAAAAACACAAGCCTGACTCTCTAGATAGAACAAAAAAAAATGAGCGGTCTACTCTGTGTCATAGCACTCTCCAGACACGATCCAGGATGTTGACCTGGGATTGACGTGGGCTGTTGTTGTTGTTGTTGTTGACTGTCAGTTGCGTTCTCAACGATTCTGCTCTTGCCGACCGTCGATGATCACGTTTTCCTCCCCGCCCTTCATCTTGAGTTGCATGTCACTCACTACAAAACCCCCTTGAAAAAGAATCATGTCGCCCCCAGCACGGCAGTTCATCCTGTGGAACACCAGCTGGCTCTGACTTTTGGTTCTCTCTGCCGATTCGTCTTTCCACAAAGTCTCGCTCTCGCTGCCTCCGGATCTGGAGGCTCCACCTGCCAACCAGACCCTTTGTCCAGCCCCCCAGACGCCACTCTGGAGTATTTCTTCATTTTTCCCGGCTGTCCTCGGCTCTCCCTCCTGTGATAACCGCTGGTGATACGTGTCGATCATGTTTGGCGAAGGTCGAGACGAGAGTTCGCCTGCCTACCTGGCGACGGCTGTCGTCGATGAAGAGCACAATCCCGATCCCGACGCTTCCGATGACGTCGGGGAGGACCAGGACGAGGTGTTCCAGCAGGCCCAGGGCGGCCTCCTGCCTGTCTGGCTGCGGGAATCGTCGCGGTCCTTTCGCTGGAGATGGGTGCCGCTGCCATTGAGGAAGGCAGGGCGAGCCGTTGTTCGCTGGGTGAAGGGCCCTGTGCCGCCGCGCGAGCTGCTGCTGACGCCGCTGTGGCCGCGCGTGCAGGAGCTGCCTGTCCGCGGCCTGGAGAAACTGGCTCCCAAGCGGAGACATAAGATCGCTCTCTTGCTGTTGCTGTACGTTGCTTGGTTCTCGCCCTGGTTCTCCGTGGTGCTGCATTCTCGGTCGTCGGGGTACATTGAAGGGTATGGGCGTCCGCAGACGCTGTCGTGTACATCCAACCTATGGTAGGTCTCTCCCTTGTCTCTAGTGGTTAGGGAGATGGATATACTGACCCGGTGGGATGACAGGGGGTTCGACAGTCGCTGCGGTCTCAATGGCAATAATTGTCGCCCGTTTTCCTCTGCTACACTTCCCTTCCGCTGTCCGGCTGACTGTCGGGACACCAAGGTGTTGGAACCACACATGGTCGGGAATGTGTCGTATAACTACCAGCCATTTGTCATCGGGGGACCCTCGCCTTCCAGTGAGGGGCCGGCTGTCTACCGAGCAGACAGTTTCATCTGCCAGGCGGCCGTCCATGCCGGGGTCATCTCGGACGTCGTGGGCGGCTGCGGCGTTCTGAAGCTCGAGGGTGCCGCTCACTCGTATCCATCGAGCAAGCAACACGGCATCCTTTCAGTGGGCTTCCCGTCGACATTTCCCAAGTCTTATAGTTTTGTGGATCTGCAGTCCTCGCAGGCGACGTGCCCAAAGGACCCACGGTGGGAGGTGTTGGGTGTCACCGTCGCCGCACTGACGCTGCTCTGGCTGTTCTGCACCTCCCCGCCTGTCCTCTTCTTCAGCACGTTCTTCATCCTCATGGCCCATGTTGGCCTGGTCTCTGATCCGCCGTCATACCCCAATCTCACCGACCTTGTCTCGACCCTGCTTTCCCGGCTGCTACCGGCGTCCTTTGTCATTTATGTGCTCTACAAGTTTTGCGCGCGTCCGCTGCTGGCACCGCTCTCGTCGCCTGTCTACCAACTGACGAAGACATTCTTGTACTTACCCATGGCCTTTATAGGCGCCTTGAACAACTACACCTTTGCCAAATTGATCCCGCTGCAGCGTCTGACGCCGCTGGATATCCAGCAGCAGCCGGGCGCGAAACTGGCATTGGCGCTGGTCATTCCGGTCATAATCTGCATTGTGCTGGGTCAGGCATGGCACATCCGCGTCGGGGGCCTGATGCCGCGCTATTTGAAGATCTACTGCACGATGGGGTTGATCATCCTGATTCTCCTGCCGTTGCCAGGTCTGCGCCTGCGCATCCATCACTACATCCTGGGCATCCTTCTCATGCCGGGGACCGCCTTCCCGACCCGCCCGTCTCTGATCTACCAGGGCCTGCTGCTCGGCTTGTTCGTCAACGGGGTTGCCCGGTGGGGGTTTGCCTCCATCATCGAGACGCCAGCCTCATTGGGCGAGCGCGTTACCGGGCCGACGGGGCCTCACGGCTGGTGGGGGGCGACATTTCCAAACATCACGACTGCGTCCGTGCAAATCAGCTTACCGGATCCGCACCGCTCCGACGACACTTTCCTCGGTAACGGTAACATCACGTTCGCCCTCTGGGAGCACCAGCGCATGGCCGACCTGGGCGTCGACGGGGTGACAGTCCTGGTCAACGACGTGGAGCGGTACCGTGGTTACCTTGACGAACATAAGAGCGGCGAGTTCACCTGGCACCGACGCGGACACCGCGGTCTAGATCTGACCCAAGCGCCTGCACCAGATATGTTCCCGACGAGTTCCTCGACGGACTCCATTGAGACCGAGGATGAGGAGCCTGAGGATCTCTTCTTCCGCTTCGCCTTCCTGCAGGGCTCGCAGGTGGGGGGGTACGGCGGCACGGGTGTCTGGCTTAAAGATGGGGGATGGATCTCGCCGCCTCCCCCGAAGTGATAGATAGATATGATAGATCTATGTGTATACATGACGTGCGATGATATGACATGACTGATGGATATAGGGGTGTTTATTTTTGGTTTTATATATCTCTCTACTCTTGTGTTTAAATGAAATGTTCATGAAACTTGCTACCAGCATCATATAAATGGTTACCTAAGTAGTCAAGTAGAGTAGGTCTATTCTATCCGACCCAACGGTTCAAAATCACCCTCTAGCAATCCCATCATATACTGATTTCCGGAGAACCAGTTCCCCAACTGCGTCGCCGGGTCCGCCGTAGCAGCAGCAGAAGCAGGATCATCGGTCATCATGTTCGTCCAGAGCGTATTGGTCGGATTATTCGCATTACTGTTGTTGTTGTTGTTGTTGTTGTTATCCTCTGTGGATATTGACGTTGCCAGCCCCAAAGCAGAGAGATAGGTATCGAATTCCTGCCCGATGGAGGCTAGGGTCTCGTCCTCCTGCTTCTGCGCCTGGGCCTCGATGTACAGCGTTGCGACAGAGCTGAGGACGGCGCACAGCCGGTGGAGCTTGTTGATCGCCTCCGAGAGCGAGCAGAGCGGCTCGAGCGAGGCGACGAACTCGGTGAGTCGGGCGAGATCGTCTTGTGTATCGGAGCCTTCGATCACATGGCAGAAGATGACGATGAAGGGGACAAAGGGGGCGTACAGAACGGTCCTAACAGTTGATCAGTGAGCGAAGGAGAAGAAGAAAAAAAAAGGTTGTAAGCCAAGGAAAAAAAACTACCTACCAATGCATGTAGGAACATTGAAAAAGCTTGTCGCTCTCGCGGGCGACAAGACGCATACTCTCGTGAAATCGGTGGAGGGCGGCGCGCGCGGTGTCGACGCAGTCGGCACTAAAGGTACCGGGGGATCCTGCAGGTGGAGGGATGGCGCGGTAGATGAGGGTGAGGACGGAGAGCCGGCTGATCTCGTCGGAAGTGAGGAAGATGGTGTCGATTTCGTCGAGGTGCCCGAGATGTGGCCGTAGCTGCTCAAACGGCTGCATGACAGCCTGGTTCATCTCGGCGGCCAGGCGGCGCGCGTACACGACCCGGTCCTCTTCGGGCTGGCACAGCGCCGCAGGGCTGTACAGCAGCTCGTATACCTTGCCCTGGATCGAGGCCAGCTTGACCCAGAGCGAGTACACTTCCTTCCACCTGTCAGAGAGGCTGAACGCTCCGAACGAATTGGGGATCGAGATATCGTAGTCCTGGATGGCCGACGCACGGCCCAGACGCAGCGACAGCGCCCGGTTCAACACGTACGCCGACCAGAAGACCCGTTGCTTTCCCTCCCGGACTACTTGCTCATCGTTTTGCATAGACGAGGCCCGGTGGTAGCCCAGCGTCTGGCAGATCTGCAGCGCGGTCGACGTCAAGGTCCATCCGAAGGATGGCTTGGAGACTTCAATGGCATGCATGGACTGGAGGTTTATGTTCAACGGTAGGCTCGAGAAGGGGGGTGTTGAAGTAATATCTCCGGGATCAAACTCACCCCTAATATCAGTGCTTCGACCGTCTCCATGGTCGCCGGTAGGAGCAGGTTCAGGTTTGCCAGGGCCGTCTCCAGATTATTCCGACAGCACGAGACGTACGCGCGATATTCTTCGCGCACGGCGGGGTTCTGGGACATGAAGCCACAGTCCATGAACATGTTGTACAATCCGCTATTGACCACGATGAAAGTTGTGTCCGAATAGTCCTCTGTGCAGAAATAGATGCGGCGACATTTTTCGGTGAATCCTTCGATCGAGATGAAGGGGCAGTAGACACTGAAAAAGGACGAAACATTGTATCCTTCTGGAAGGGAAGTCAGAATAGAACTAAATAATCAAGAGATAGAAGAAGTGTCAGGTGTCCCCAGAGAGTGTACCTTTGATCTGACGTAAAAGTTTAACGGTAGCCTCCATCGGTGGCATGGACAAGTCGCGCACTCCAGCTTCTGGTAGAGGCTTCTGGTTCGGAAACCGAACTCCTGAGTGCAGCTGGGGATGGGCCTGCATGCTCACCAGCTGCCGCAGCGTCGAGAGAGCCGCCTTCATCTTGGGGCTCGTCTCTCTCAACGAACTGGAGACTGCAGTCTCCAGGAACTGACTGGCGTACGCCGAGTGCGCCGCCAGCGAGGAGTTGCCTTCAAACGGCGAGCTTGGCTCGTGCTGATCCAGCGTCCCCCGAATTATCTGCGCCGAATCAACGGTGGTGCCGTTCTTCATCGAGACTGGAGTGGGTTGGAAGGACAGGGATGACTCTGCGGCCCTGGGAGTGTCATCGTCTCGCTTCAAGCTGCGGATGGCTTGCTCTATCCCCACGAGGCGTTCTTCAATCAAATCGATCTTTCTTTCACTATCGCGTATCAGCAACAGAGATCACGTAGCTGCAGTATTGATTGAATCATTACTATTGACTGGAAATGAGAATTCGCCGTTGCTGCTCTCGGGGCTTTCGTCCAGCCCCAGTCGACCGACAGGAGAGCCGAGAATTCCTGCAATTCGAGCATGGAAGCTGCTTATCACATCGAATCTGCACATTTCACAATTCAGAATTAATCAGTATTGCTCAAGCAAATACAGAAGGCAAGGGAGGTAGTGGTCGGTTGAGTGTTGATGAATCCTCTTCTCTCAGTACTACTAACAAGGAGAACTACTGCCCACCTTTCGAAGACGGCATTGATCGCACTGCATAAATCAATCAATTACCAATCAATTCATCCAATTTAATGCACCAAAAATGATTAATATTAAACGAATCACATACCGCACGATGAGTCGTCCCCAGTCCTTCTTCACCACTATCGGGATCCACGGCCTCCATTAGACGCTGTATAGAGCACGATGGTCGCTTGTACAAGCAGGAAGACACCAGTCAGAACACAAGGCACACAGTACTGACTTTCGGGCCTTGGCACAGCGATAGATGACTAGCAGTGGATGCTTGCGTGGTTGTTCCAGACCAAGTCGAATCGTGGATGATGTCTGGAGGAAGACGTCTGGAAACAGCCAAGTCGCCCGGAGTCCGCGGAACCCGGTGAGTCTGTCTAGTACGGCGACTATTTATTAGAAGGGATTATTTTTCACTACAAAATAAACAAGTTTCTTATTATCTAGAGGGCAGCTGATTCAATTTCAAGTGAAGGAAGAAAAAATCGATGAGGTCTGATTAATCTTTACTAGTTTTTCTACCACTGTTCGAACTGCTTCAAGTACTCCCAAATCAGCTTCATCTCGACCGGGTCTGCGACCTCCCCAGGGCCCCAGGCATCCCCCAGCCACATGTTCAAGGGATCCTCGCTGGTTGCCGGCCAATAGGGCAGGTTAGAGCCGTTGGGGTCGCTATCCTTGATGAAATTCAACCAGTACTGGACCATCCGTTTCTCGATGGCATAGTCGGTCGCCGTCCACGCCGCGCTGGGCTGGGTGTAAGGAATATTGTTGAACACGTAGTACATCTCCGTACCGTGGGAGGCGCCTAGGGTCCAGTCCGGAGGTGTGTGAGTCCAGAAGTACAGAAAGGTGTCGGCAGAGGCGCCACCCAGGGCATAGTCCCGCGCCCACTTCCACTGCGAGGTCCGGCTGAAGGCCTGCCAGAAGCGGTTGCTGGCGTTGTTGGCCTGCGCGTCGTTCTCGGCCGGGTACAGAGAGAAGAACTCGCTCGACAGGTTGCCCATGATGGCCGTAAAGTTGGACCGGAACGTGTCCAACGTCAGACCTGGGCTCAGCTTCGCCCCGGCCTCGTCAAGGTTGTATCCGGCCAGGATGGGGACGTTGGCGTGGCGGCCGGTCTCCAGCAGCTCGCCGTACGTGGAGGGCAGAAAGTGCCCGTCCAGTACTGGTCGCCAGATCGGTGGGTCGAGAAAGAAGATGCTCGAGTTTTCGAACCGGGTATCAGAGTAGGTGGTGTCGTCTTCCTGGTCGTAGATCAGCAGTGTATCGAACGGGACATTCCGCAGTTCCTCCAGCGTGGTGACATTCATCTCAGCCATGAAACGAACCCCATCGGCCTCGGCCTGGTCTTGGAGTCGGTAGCTGGTTGCAAGACTGCCGGTCATCGGATCGTGGGGGGCACGGGTGCCGCTCTCGACCACGATGCCCTTGGCCAAACCGTGCGCCAGCGGGCTGTACATCATATCCAGAGAGCAGGAAGACCCAGATGACTGACCCCCGACCGTGATGGAGTCAGGGTCCCCACCAAACGCAGCGATCTCCTCCTTCACCCAGTTCAACGCGTAAATTAGGTCCAACGCGCCGTAGTTGCCGGAACTGTTGGTCTCCGATTCTGCAGACAGCTCAGGGTGAGCAAGGAAACCCAGGGGCCCTAGCCGGTAATTGACCGTCACGACAATAACATCGTGCGCCGCTAGTCCAGAGCCATCATATGTCACCACAGCCCCTGAGCCTTGAATGAACCGTCCGCCGTGCATCCAGAAGTATACTGGCAGCTTCTCATCGCCCTTGCGGTTGGCAGGAACCCAGATGTTCATGAACAAGCAATCCTCGCTCATTTGGGTCGAGCCCGTCGTCCAAAGCGTCATGGTATCGTTGTACTGAGGACACTGAATCCCAAACTCTGTCGCGTTTCGCACACCTGTCCATGGCTCCATGGGAGCTGGTGGTCGCCATCGTCGAGGACCTGTCGGCGGTGCGGCATAGGGAATGCCCTTAAAGGCGATGACCTCGTCATTGTATTCGGAAACAGCACCAAGCAGGTCGCCATAGCTAGTATGGACCTGCAAGGCAGATTCATCTTCCACCGATGACGATAACGGCGAAGGATAAGCGTCCACGCACCACGCTGCGAGGAGACCTGCCGCTATCATTCCCTTTAGGATGAACATCTTGATGCCCTCCGTGTCACGATCTAGTAACTACTAGTCAAATCTAAGCAAATTCATAGAGCTGCTTTCTACCCACCTTAAGTACTAGGCACTTGCTCCGTATATATGTCATCACCGGCAAATACCCCTCTAGTATTGTGCTTTTCCCGGAATACGTCGCTTCGCCAGTTTTCTAAGCGAAGCCTCCAGGCATCTAAATCCCCGCAGATGGCCCAAAGCTTCTCTTCGTCTGGCAGGGATCTGCATCTTCAAGAACATTGGGTAATCAAAAACCCAAACTTATTCGTCTGTCCCACGCTAGACCACGGACTAGATGACTTCAAATGGGATGGTATCTCCGACTTTACTCCGATAAGGGATGGGCGTTTATATTTACTACCGGAATTTTAGCCAGCTGAGAGCACAGGAAGTATAAACCAGGCCAACCAGGTTGTTGACCTTGGGGTATTTGATCCAAAATCATCATATGATTCGTCCAAGATCGTACGATTTAATATATGCTGGCTGCCGGACTAGAAGGTGCGGTGCTAGAATTATTTGAACACCGAGAGACATCAGAACCAATTCCGATTCCCTTGTACCCCGGTATCAGGTTTGGGGAGGAGAGAAAGGTTGTCGTTGATTATAGAGATTGATGGTTCTAGAAAAATCGGCGATTGAATGAATGGCTTATTTCTTGATTCCGATGACGGCCAAGTTCCGGGGACTCTCCTTGTAGGCGAAAACCGGCTCAACCCAGCAATCCTTGACGGATTCATGCTCACGGAGGAATTGCCATCGGTCGACGACAATGATGGCTTCAATAACCGAGGCGCTAAGTGCCATCAAGCTCCAGGTGACACTGAGATGCTTTTTTGTGGGGGCGTACTCTTGGACGTAGCGTTCCAGTTCTTCATCAGTGATGTTTGCCAACCTCTCCTGGACCTTGGCCCCGTAGTGTGCATCACGACATAATCGTGAAACGGCAGCACGTACATACGCAGGAAACGAGGTAAAAGCCGCTTTGCGAAGAGACCCAACAATCAGCGGGGGGCCGGTGGCCTCGATCTCTGCCTGCTCAGGCTCATAGAGGCTGCGTGCATTGACAGGCCTTGGAATTATTTCCTTGTCTACGAGAATGCGCTGCAGTAGGGCACGATAGTAGTGACGGGTGAAGAAACTCTCACTGTCTTCTCGCCCCCAGTTGTAGGGTGCCTGGACTGCCATACTTCGAGCAGTGATGTTCAATTTCACACCTGTGCCTCCCTCATGGGCAAAGTTCTCCATGCGTTGCGACATGGGGAAGCCATGGGGATCATAGGCTCGTGAAGTCTCCTGCAGACGTGGATGGAGAGAACGGAGAATCGGTAGTTTCCATGTGATGGGACCAAGTCGTTCTGTCATGAGATTGTAGCAACAGCCGATCATGGCAACGGCGACCACGGAAGGGTTCAGGACTAGGGACCGAATCCCATGATGGACGAGATTGCCACATGAATGAAGGGAGACAACCATACATCTGGCATCGACTGCCTTCCCGTCACTTATTACGACGGTGGCCTCTTGAGAAGAATCACCTGCGACTGCGCTGGTAGATGGCTCCATAATGTGCTTGATGATAGGCTCCAGATACCCATCCTTGATGTTATGCTCGATGTAGTCTATCGCGCCTCGCACCTCTCTTGGCGGTTGCTCACTTGCTGGTACGCCCTTCTTGCGAGGGCGCGGAGAGGGCGTGAAATCCTCCGGATCTATATCGACACCCCGGAAAACATTGATAACAGTAAAGTCTGAATCATTTGGTACCGCTGAATCCTTTGCGGTAGTTGTGGAGTCCGTTGCGCTCTCTTCTGCCCGGACCGGAGACTGTGATTTCTGTGTTGGACGCTCGTCGCAGTCCTCACATTTTCCCTCATTGTTTTGCCAAATTACCTCCTTTTTAATACCAAGGGCATGTTGGTCAAACCGATTGGCACCACGCATATGCTGGTGTTCGCGTTCAATAGCAATTATGTGCTTGTTGTAGGAGTTGGCCAGGGTCCGTCCGAGATAGTTTTGACCAGACCCAAAATCCACCACATGGGAAACATCTTCCCCTCGCAGCTCTGCCACTTGCCCGCACAGTTGGTCGACATAGTGTGAGAAGTTCTCGACTTCATGTAACTTCTTCGTCTTCATACCAATGGCGAGTCGCGGTGGGATAGTACCCTGCCTGAAGTCGACAGGGGTGAAGTCTCGTCGCAGACTCAGCCTCCGGATATTGCTAATGTAGTCAAGAAGACTGATGGGCGGCAAAGGGCCGCCTCTCCATGTCCCTACAGCTGTGTGACCATTGAGTGCCGAGGATTCTTGCTGTTGCCTGAGCTGACCTACATCCTCTCTCAAGAGGAGGTGTAGTATATCGTGAATATCATGTTCTTCGAAGAAATCCCGCCAATCATCCTGTAATAGAGTCGTGTAGACACTCGGTTCTCGTGTCAGAAAGTCCAATATATGCACACCACCACACAGGTTCCTGAACAGATCATCGGAGGTCGCGAAGGCCAGAAGCGCGTCAACGTAGGAATCCGGATCTGTCCACTCTGGACCGAGTGGGAGGGGGTCTTTCCGTGTCATGCGTCTTGCGGTCGTCAAATCGATAGCTCAATGGCAAAAGAAATAAACCCGCCGATCGCGTATCACGCCGTGAACGTCTCTGAGACTCTCAGGGGAGGGAAAGGCACGATTGATTGCGGGGTGTTGGAGCGATAAATTCTTATCAGAAAAAATTTCCAAGGAATCCCCCCACCAAGATAGGACTTGTGTGCCTGAGGCATCGAAATTCTCTGTGTTCATTCAAGGGCCCTGGTATTTATATCTCTTTTTGATATTAACCATCAGCTTCAGAGGATGCGGGCAGTTGAAGAAATACTCTCTGGTTCTCACCGAGTAAAAGAGATGGCTGGACTAAGGTGATACACGTGGGCTTCCTGAAAGGGTGATTAGGGCATAAAGATAGGGCTTCCCGATGGCGATGACCATCTCTGACCACTGACCAGATGACCAACTCACGTGAGGCACATTCATTTCTATGAAGAAGATAAAGTGGCCGAATTTCTCAAAAATAGGCATGTCGTTCTTGTCTCTATCAAGCCGTGATGCTTCCTTGATGTACAGCGCAATGCTCACTTATACCATTCCAATGGGTTGGCAGATAACTACCTAGGTATGCCACATGCGCATAGGTTAGTCAAAGTTCTAATGAAAAAGCTCTTCTATTGATTTGTCAAGAGCATTTCGATATCCAGGAAGACACGAGTCGGTATCTACGAAACCTCTCTCCAGCTCATCTCGAAGAGTGAGGGAAGGAGCGATGATGACAACTCACGTTGGCAATGGCAACCTTGCAAGCCTGATTCATAGGGATCCAGCTAATGCCATCCCTAGGAACTCTTTTCTTTAGCCATTCCATGCCTCCTTTATCATATACAATCGCTTTACCTTGATCACAACGCTCTTCCAGCAGTTCACCACACTCGTTTACCTTGTCAGATCTTATTCTTACAACAACAATTTATTAGCTTCAACTGCCTCATACGATACTCGCTTTTGAACTGCTCCAAAAGATGCAGCTCCTCGGAGTTATTCCTGATATTCTTATCCAAATTGTCGTCTGTGGCGAAGTCACCGACATTCCTGCGCTTTTGCGAGTAAACAAGGAGACGAGTTATACCATCAAGGCCTTCGAGGTGCATATCTGTCGCTTCATCTTACGAACGCATGACAAGGTGTCCATGAACCCTATTCTTGTTGTGAGCCCTTACACCGGCAAGCTCCATGATGTTTTGACTTTCAAGTCATTGGTTCGATTTCTCCCGCGTTCCCTCATTTCAGAAGAACTTGCACAGCACCTCATGGTGTCTACATGCCGTACAGACAACACATCCAACCTGAAAGACGCTCTATTCTTCGAAAAGCTTCTCGAAATCTCTATCCTTGATGGTCTGTATGTTCTCTGGCATATGGTAGATATTGCCAAAGATGTCGATATTCGCTGGAGGAGAAACGAGATACAGCCTACAGCACAAACCTGTGCCCGACTCCGGCAGCGGCCGCCAGAAACTCAAGAAACCTTATACAAGATTTATAGAGAATTCATTAGCCCAAAACTTTGTGCTTATAGCAGATTGTTTCGGCCTACTATTGGAACCTCTTTCGATCATTGGTGGGCGTATCATGACACTATCGCTGAGACTCGCCTGAATTTCAGACGATACATCGGCCAAATCCGTGATGTAAATCTTCAGGTGGCTCTCCGGACGCTACGCCAGTTGTTGCGCAAGATGTTCAGGAGGCATGAGCCGACCGACTGGTTTGGTGATCCCATCGGCGAGTTTAGTGTGATCCACTGGTTTTTGTTGCGGCAGTCTCCCGAGTCCATGCAAGAATTGATTCTTGGTAAAGGAAACTGTTGCATTTCAGGAAATAAAAGCTCTAGATCCGAGCCCTGTCCATTCATCGAAGCCGTTCAAGACTGTCTGAAGGCATGGAGAGGCCAGGGGCTGCCGGGAAACATAATGTATCGCTCCCTCAACGTACATTCAGTGATCATGGGAAGGACACGGGGGGTGCACCAAATGAAGTTAAAGATATTGATGTATCTTTTGCATCAGAAGCAGGATCAGGCGTATCCCAGACGACTGAAAATAAACCGAGGTAACCGCTCTACATCCTACTAACTACTACTAGGTTGTAGTAAAGGTATGCTCTGAACATGTTCCCAGCTGAAGCCTCTGAGCTGACAAGTTTAACAGATCCCTTGTTTCTCTTTCTCCTTTCACCAGCCCTAAAGGTTTACATGCAGGTGATCATCCTGAAAATGTTATTGAGCATCGACTGCTTGGCGATATTTTTATTTCAAATTGGATGACGGGGAAATTGGGGCCTCCAATGCTTAGTTTTCCTATTGTTTGACCGTTTCTTGATTATTTTTGGCCAAGGATAGTCGAATTCATTAATTTAGGCGATTTTCACCGTATAAAATTGTATATTGAGGTTCTTTCTTGTATGGAGAGAACTTCACCTGAGTTGGAAATGACGTCTCTAGAGTCGGAAGTGGACGCCAAGCCTCATCCGGCCTGGCGCCGTGTGTCAACAAGAGCAATCCAGATAAGAAAGACCTCCCTGTCCAGAACATCAGGCAACAGCTGCTTCAACACACTCATCCCATCTCATAGTTTGAGATGAGCTCTGTCAGGATATAATATCACCCGCGAAATTCTTCATTATGGACAACCTCGACCCGTTCCTCCAGGTGCAGGCGTAAGTGGTGGCCCCAAGAGAGAGAGAGAGAGAGAGAGAGAGAGGAGAAAGAGAACCAAAAGCTGAGGAGAAAACGAATGATAAAGGGACGTTTTATCAACCTTACAAAGCGCTCGCCCGCTTTTCTCATCGTACCTTCGAATCCGGTCGCTCGCCAAATCGCCCAACAACCCTGAACTACAACAAGCGCGGACCGAGCTCGAATCGACGCTGGCCGACCTGACGGCCGATCTAGACGACCTGGTGGAAAGTGTGCGCGCCATCGAACTCGATCCCTACCGGTATGGATTGGAACTGGAAGAAGTGCAACGCCGACGGAAACTCGTCGATGATGTGGGCGATGAGATTGAACAGATGCGCGGGGAGCTGCAGAGAGCGGTTTCGACCGCCGTCATGGGACGGGCACAGGGAGGGGGAGGAGGAGGAGGAGGAGCGACGGGGGCCGCGGGGTTACCGAATCCCGCAGACTTTGATGCATTCCTGTCGCCCACGGCTGGAGATGACGATGATGAAGGAGGGCGAGGGGACGATTACTATGCGGAACTGGAACAGCAGCGCCAGATGGAGCTGATGCAGGAACAGGATGAGCAGCTGGACGGGGTGTTTCGGACGGTGGGCAATCTACGCCAGCAGGCAGATGATATGGGCCGTGAGCTGGAAGATCAGGCCGGCATGATTGAAGAGGTGGACACGCTGGCCGATCGAGTGGGTGGGAAGTTGCAGAACGGGGCGGCAAGGTTACAGCATATTATACGGAAGAACGAAGGTAAGAGAAAGAAAGAAAAAAAAAACCCCGAAACCCATTCTCCTATCAAAGTAAAAAAGCTAATTGATAGATACAATGTCTTCGTTTTGCATTGTCGTCCTCATTTTCGTTCTCGTTCTATTACTCATTCTGGTGATCGTCCTGTGATTGTATAGTGGGCGTGGAGTTTCTTGTCACTTTTGTTTCTTTGGCGCAATTCAAACCTTGGTCTTCTTGCGGGGATGCGACTCCTCCTCTTCGTCATCCTCGTCCCCCTCCAAGTCTTCCAGGTCTTCCAGGTCGGCGTCCGAGAGATCATCGGCGATCGCATAGGATTCGACTACACACGGGAAAGTCAGCTTTCCCTCTTCTTCATTTTTCTGTGATGGATGGGTTACATACCGTAGTATTTCAGGGCGTTGGGCCACAGATCCTCGGCGATGGCAGTGGCTACATCCTCGCCATCCGGAAAGATCTCGATATCCTCGAGGCTGTCGACATCCTCATCCTCCTCGTCATCGTCATCATCCTCGTCCTCATCCTCAGGCTCTTCACCCTTGGCAATCTTAGCCCATCTCTCCTCCTCGTCCTTTTCGGCCTCCTTGGACTGTTCGGCGGAGACGTCTCTGCCCCGGTACCCGAACAGAGCGAAGAAGCTGACGCCAGCAGGGCTGTTGCCGGCCATGGGGTCCTCGTCGTCTTCCTCATCCTCATCCTCGTTGGCTGCGGCCTCGAGCTCAGCGACCTTGCGGACAAGCTTCTCGAACTCTGGCAGTGTGGTGCGGTCGGCGCCCTTCTTCTTCTGCTGCTGCTTCTTCTCGGCCTCGGCAAGGTCACAGGCAGCGTCGAGCAGGCCCTTGGTCGGGTCCATGCCCTTCTTCCAGTTGATCCGGACGGGCTCGGAGACCAGGCCCTCCCAGAAGCGGCGCTTGCCCTGGGCGTTCTTGGTCACCTGCTGGCGCCAGTAGAAGTCCTTGACAACCTTGGCGTCGGTGATAAAGGCGTTCTCCTCGTCGGTGCGGAACTCGAACGTCAACCGCAGACTGCGCGGCTCTCCCTGGCCCTTGTCGTCGACCTCGAACCGCTCGATGGTCAAGTTCTTCAGGCAGGTGCTGAGGATCGCCGCATCGCTGGGCAGGATATACTCGTCGATCTCGGCGGGGGCGTTCGAGAACACCCGGATCCAGAATTCAGCCTCGACGTCCGGGCGGGTGATGAGCGCATTGCGCTTCTCGTATAGCGGGCGAAGAAGAGGGACAGAAGCGCGGACTACACATTCAGCAATCCATAATAAGATAGATATATATATTTTATACTGTAGGAATGAAAAAAAAAAAAAAAAACCTACGCTGGTCCAGTTCCACGCGGTTGAACTCCTCTTCCAGACGCGCCATCTTGCGCGCGGTCTCCTTCGGGATGCCAGGCATCTCGATACCCTCTTCAAACGACTCAGACATTCCGAATTATATGTGATTAATGGAATAAGAGTGGAAAGGGATAATAAGTTAATGTGTGGTAAGTATGTACAGAGGTACGTCGTAAGTGGGAGGGAGAAAAATCTGAGGATCGTCCGAACTTAGTTAAATTGGTTTTTGGCAGACTGAGCGCACGGCAAGAGGCAGAGGCCAGATACTGGACAGAGCTCAGCTCGATAAGCTAAGCTATGCTGCCACGGGCTAAACTGCTTCCGGACGTATTTAGTACCTGAGTAGTAAGTACATGTTCTCTCCTTGGATTTCTATTGGATTATTTGGTAGAATTTATAGTAGGTAGGTATAGATTGTTAAATAGTAGGAGTGAGGTTTATGATAAATGCTCAGTATTTATTGGTTATAAGTAAAGAGTATTTGTCAGGCAACGGATGGCCTGGAGAAAGCGGAAGAGATGTGTGGATAGATGATGGTTGCTATCTAGGATGCGCGCAGGCGAGAGAGAAAAGGCAA